TCAATGTCATGAGACAAAGTATATGTGAACTGCTGTATGAAAAGTGAATTTACTCTGTAAATCTTCACCCAAATCCTAATTAAAAAAAAGAAGCAGCAACTAGAAAAATCTCTCCTTAACATGATCTGTATTTATCTTTTCCAGGTGAATGAGCTTCAGAATTTGTCAAGTGCCGAAGTTGTTGTCCCTCGTGACCAGACACCCGACGAGAATGACCAAGTAGTTGTCAAAATAACCGGTCACTTCTACGCTTGCCAGGCAAGTGGGTTCTTTCTAAAGTGGTAACTAAGTTTTTTGCTTTTTTTCCTCAAACGGAAACAATTCTGCCCTGGGTACTCTTCCTTCCATCCAATATAAATATTGAAGGTTCTTTGGTGCTTAACTTTTAGTCCCCCTTTGATCAGATGATTCAGAGGCTCCACTAAGCAAACTGCTGAGTGTGTATCCTTAATCCTCAAGTGAATTTCTATTTCTATTTGGCAAGGTTGTTAAAGTGGGAGAATAAAATAGCTTTTAGTAATTTTTGATCAGGTAGACCTTTTCAAAGCTCTGTTCTTTTGCAGGTTGCCCAGAGAAAAATTCAGGAAATACTGACTCAGGTAAAGCAACACCAACAGCAGAAGGCTCTGCAAAGTGGGCCACCTCAGTCAAGACGAAAGTAAAGGCTCAGGAAACAGCCCACCACAGAGGCAGAAATGCCAAACCAAAGACAGATGCTTAACCAACAGATGGGCGCTGAACCCCTATCCAGAATCACATGCACAAGTTTTTACCTAGCCAGTAGTTTCTTTGAGGACCAGGCAACTTTTGAACTCCTGTCTCTGTGAGAATGTATACTTTATGCTCTCTAAAATGTATGACACCCAGCTTTAAAAAGAATTAAGGAGGGAGGGGGAGAGAGGAGCTCTGCACTTCCCTTTTGTTGTATTCTTGCAGTGAATTAATATTCCCCCAGTAATACCCCAGAGTGGTTTAATGATACATGATACATTTACTAAATTCATGAAATAAGTAAAAAACAGATTGCTCTTAAATCCAGTTACTAAAATTGGATCCAAATGGAATTATCACAGGAATTTAAATGTTAAGCCACTAGCATAGAAAAATGTCTCCTTTAATTTTTAACTAACACTAACATGAATAACCTAAGGGAAGTGCTGAATGGTGTTGGCAGGGGTATTAAATGTGCATTTTTACTCAACTACCTCAGGTATTCAGTAATGCAATGAAAAGCAAAATTGTTCACTTTTTTTCCTTTGAAAATTTTCTATAGTTTATAAAGATAAAAGTCCAACCTTTTTTAAAAAAAAAAAAAAAAAAAAGGAATTTAATCAGCTACCAGCTAACAGGCAAAAAACTGAGGAAAAGAATTTTACTTCTGACTGGTGACAGTTAAGATGGGAAAAATTAAGGTTTTTTTGAGGCTTGGAAAATCCAGTAAGTAATCAGAGATAATGGAGCAGTGCCTATGTTTGGAGAGCAGCAATACCATTTATTTTTTTATTTATGGTAGGGAAAGTTTTTGATGGTACTAACAAAGCAAAGTGGTGGCAGGAGGTTTTGGAGTGGCTAGTTTAAATGGTTTCAGGAGACTTGAAATTTGTTTGGCTATGTGATTGAATGCATTAATGCTTTGTGCTTTTGACTATCACTAAGCAAAGAACACCAATGAAGAGATACAGCCCCTGTGGACTTCAGAGTGGGAGTGGCAAAGAGGAAGCTTCAGCTTCTCTTCTAGGATGCTTAATTTGGCAATACATTTCAGGCCAATCGGTCTATACTTTGAGCAGACCCCAAAATAATTTGTGAAGACCACTGGGGCAGTCAGATGGTGCGACAGCGTTTACAGGCACAACATCTATGTGTGCTAGGCACTGTCTGTGTGCCTAAGATATTATGATTTTAAAATAAAAATTCAAAAAAATCATCAACAAAAAGGTTACTTAAAATATTACATAAAATGCAGGAGAATTTCTTGAGTATTTTACAGTCAGCTGTTTGAAACTAAGTCAAAAGGTAGGGAATACTGGAAAACATTTTTGGATTATAATTTGAATGACTGTGAGAAAAACATCTGCCATTTGAAAATGAACTGTGTCCGATACTTGGATGGCGAAGCCTGGTACGGAGAGTTGGTGGGTGGTATCTGAGGCCATGCTGCTCTTTTTGTGTTGCTTTTATTCATAAGATCACAGTCATCAAGTTTCACTGATAGGAAGGGCATATATAAATAACCCTTGGGGTGAAAATCATTTTGCCTCCTCCATATTTCAAGATAAATTTCTACGTGGACTAGATAAGTTTTTCTAAAAATCAATATATCACCAATTAGACATTTTAAAAATGGCTTGAAATGTTTTCAGAGAAGCATTTTATTTTGTAGTTGTAGCCAAAAAGTGTCCTTTTTTTGTCACTGAATTCATCTAGCATTCATGATTTGTTTTCATACAATGAATTGCAAAAAACAAAAAATACTGGCGTTCTGGTTGGACTTCAGGTGAGATGTGTTTAATGCCAGTTTTCCTTGGTATTTTTTTCCAGTACTTGATTTTTCTTAATACAGATAGGTGCTCCATTTATATCTGCTGGTTTAAATTCTGTCATTCTTCATTTCTAGCCTTTTAGTTTGGCAAATCATGTTTTACTTTAATTAGGCGTTGGTAATTTGGAGTATCTGATAATAACTAGGAAATCTGTAATTGAGTTTTGTACTCACCATGTATGGCTCATTCCTCATCTATAATGTGCACCCACTGCAGCTTCATTTTCCAGATACCTTTATGCAGAATAAAATTTTTCATCATTAGATGGAGCTTGGACTGTAGTATGTTTTATTTTTGGTTTTTCAAATGAATATAAAGGCTCTAGATTTGGTATAGGACCATAAACAGATTTTTAGTAATACTATGTCAATTTGACATACCACTTGACATGGTAAAATGCTTATGTCTCCATTCTGTGGAACTGAAAGGAACTGAAATTAACCTTGATAATACTGCTGTATCTGAACTAAGAACTATAAGCTTTTGGGAAGTTTTTCCTACTAATTTAAAAAAAAAAACTAATGACCTCCCTACCCTCCCACAGATATGCTTGTCTTTCATTAACACGGCAGACCTAACTTTTATGATACATGAGACTTGAAACCTGTTATCTGGAGTGCTCTTGGAACAGTTTATACACTTTGTCTAAGGAGAATATCCTGGTATTTATTGCTGCCCTTATCACCTCAAAGAAAAAGTAATTAGATCAGTGTGGTGATAGTGTTTTTTTAAAAATTTGGCCATTCCACGTAAGAGCTGCATGTAAGCAAAATCAAACTTAAGCAGCGTTCAAGAAAGGTAAGGGGGTATGTGCTAACTCCCAGAAATCATGCTAGAATCTCCAGGTTAAATATAAATATTCTGGTTTGAATATACTGACTTTTAGAGAGTTCTTAGCTGACTTAGCTACAATTCCCAGCTATTAGTTAGGATGAATGCCCATGAGATAAGCCTTGTTTTACAGCAACCTAACCAACACAGGGTGGGGTGTGCGGGACCTTTAAAGAAGCAATTCAATCCAAATCTGAAATGACTAAAGCAGTTTCTATAATTTTATTCACACTTGAACTCCATTGGAGTCAGAGATGCAGTGTTGTCTTCTATTCCAAGAATGAAGTCTTCAGGTAATGTCTCAGGTGCTATCTGAGCTAACTGGTCATCATAAGAACGCAGAGTCCATAATTTCTCTAATTCATACGTTTCTCTGGTTTCTGGAAGCATCAAATGAATCACCATGCTACCTATCAGGGACAAATAAGAGTTACAATGAATGAAACAATTTATTTTTCATTCTTGTGATCTCACAACCCTCTGTGGCTAGCATAATTCCAGGAACTAGAGCAGTCGTTCTTAAAACAGTGACCCTGGATTAACATCACCTGGGAACCAGGACTACCCAACCCTAACAAAAATACCAGAAAAGTTACACTATATCTTTCTCAATGCATCATATAGGAAATACTTGCTATTAGTGTATGTAACATTATGGTACTGCTTAACTGACTAAGGTGGTATCTTGTCAAGTTTCTCTCTAAGACCCATGGAGAATTGTCTTCCATTTCTGCACAGCCTGTTGACAAAAATGCTGCACTATCTTTTCAAGGATGTTTGTATCATGAATAGCCTTAGTAGAAATAGTGTCTCCCTCCAGAACAAAAATTGAGTTTGGCAAAGTCTAGAGACATTTTTTACTGTGGTGGGAGGGACACTACTAAATATCCTACAAATGCACAGAGTAGTAACTGTCCCCCCTCACCAACAAAATTATCTGGTCCAGTATGTCAGTATTACCACATCTAAGAAACCCTAGCTTACAGCCTTGGAGTAGTAACTCCAGAGCAATGGACAAGAACACTTACCTGCCCTGCCATTATAAAAAAAATCTGGGTTCCCTAAACTCAGGGTTTCTCTCTGCTGTGATCTGGCCCTGTGTGTTGCCCCGTGGGCTTAAACTGGTGCAAAAATGCTGGCTACTGCTATTGCTGGGAGTAATACTTCCTCTCGAACCAGGGAAGTAATCTTTTGTCTTTACATGAAACTAGAAACTGGTTCAAGTTTACAAGAAGTGAAATCTCAGACTCCTCAACGTTACTGACATGTAACTATTAATTATAAAGGGGAAAAATAAGTATTTTGTAGGGAGAAGCTTTGAAATGATCCATATATTAATACCCAAACTTGTTTTCCCTTTTCAAAATTCTAAGTCTCTGCTTTTGCCCTGTGCCTTGAATGCCCTTTACTTTCATCTTGGGTATTTATGGCCTGGATCACCCCACGCCCTCTGTCCCTCAAGCCTTCTTTTCCTACCTCTACTGTTATCCATCCAGCTTTCCACCATCTTCCAAACCTGTGTAGTTAGTTTTGTATCTATCAAATAGTACACATAGCTTTTCCTCCAAGAGTGCATTATCTAGCATACTTTAGTCAGATGATTTCTTGTGTGAATAAAACCACCTGCATTATAATTAATACAATTTTGGTTACTTTATATTCCAAAATTTTATATGGAAAAAGTCACCAGCAATTTGATCTTAAGCCTTTTATACTAAAATCAATTAGTACAGTACAAAATGTTTACCTGTAAAATATGCCAGCTAACTTACCAAAATCCACACACAGCCAGTCATCAGTGTCCTTCCCTTCTATTTTAACATGGGGGTCACTTTTACACTTCAGATATTTGTACTAAAAAAAAAAAAAAAAAAGTTAAAGGGGGTGGAGGTAGGACTGTACTTTAAGGGCCTGATGGTATTTTTCTTGGCTTTAATTTGGAAACTTGTCATTTCTCAAAGTTGTAGCTTGACTGTACATTTCTCTTCCTTTATATCTAAAATTTTCATAAAAGTAATTTTCATGCCCAGTCCTTTATCTTCCATAGAAACATCTGTGAAAAATCTCCCATTTCTTGTGTGTATCTCAAGTCCAATGGTCATTGCTAAGTCTTCGCCTTACTCTATCCCGTGATAATGAAGCCGAGTTGAATTGTAGCTCAATTCCCCATCCTTTCCTATAACCATCCTCCACCCTGGTTGGAGACAGATGAGCAGGAATGATAACTTGTTTCTTTAGTAGTTTTTCAGAAATCCAGCCAAGACCAACTTGAAATTGGTTAAAATCAGCTCAGATCTGTTATGGTCTGTGAACACGCGCAGTGAGACAAATGGAACGAAAATCTCAAAACCAACGTCTCTCCCTCTGCCTAAGCCCTGATCAGCTGATGACAGAAAGTGTGTATAACTCATCTGGTGTGTAAGCACACTGCATTAAAAACTGACCATCCCTTTAAACCCAGGTGAGTGAAACTTCAGCCAATCTCCAACTCATTCATACCCAAATTCCTGATATTTTTTTGAGTATGTATAATTTGAATATGTATAAACCCCTTCCTTGAACCTTACAAAAATTGTATCCCAACCCCAATTCAGGAAGTCAGATTTGGGTATGGTCCCTGTCTCCTTACCATGTGGTTGGTAATAAAATTATTTTTCTCATCTCTCAGGTATGCAGGACTAAGTCCCCAGCCCCCTTATTTTATCCCTCCCTAAATAATCCCAGCTATTCTTTTGATCTTGACTGCCCTCTCTATGACTGGTTTTCAACAGAGTAAGAAGTATGTTGGCATCAGAATGAACTGCCTTCTCTCTTCTCAAAGTAGAGCTGTGAACTCAGTGGTTGAGGACTGCATCTTTTTGAACTTTACCTTCTACCTATCACAGTACTTAGGGACACTAGACCTGCTCAAATATCTGAAATAAACTCTGTACTACCACTGTCCAACAGAACTTTTTGCAGTGATTGAAATGTTTTATAGCTGTGTTGTATAACATGGTAGCCATTAGCCACATGTGACTCCCGAGCAACTAAAATGCAGCTAATCCAACTGCGGAACATAAGTTTTAATTTCAATTTATATTCAAAGAGCCCCATATGGCCAACTGGCTACCATTTGCACAGTGCAGCTCTAGAAATCTCTCTGGGTCTACTGTCTTCTAGCGTGCCTCAAGTTATTTTTTGTAAAATTAGAAATACCTTATTCAGTTCACTAGGTATTTGTCCCATACCTACCTTTTACCATCAAAGAATATAAAACACTCTCATATAAAATTTTGAAAATGGGAGGCTTCTAATGCAACCTCATAGGAGAGATTTACTTTCTAAGTGTTGCTCCTCAACCTGATGCATTGACACTATCCCACTCAGCTAACTATCCAAAAGAGAACAGAGTATCCTACCATTTTCACAATGTAGTAGGCCATTGCATGTAAGTGTCGGGTAGAAGTTCCACTCCCAATCACAAAGTAATCTGTGTATTTCATCTCTGGAGGAACCTTGATGACACAAATATCTCTTGCATTTTCTTGTCTCAGAAGTGAGATTAGCATATCTATGTCAAACTTGGGACCAGTATGTTCTGAAATGCACAAAGATTTGCTTGTCAGATAGCCAAGTAATAGGTAGACATTACATACACTCAGGAGTCCCTGGGTGGGTGCAAATGGTTAACCTGCTCAGCTGCTAACTGAAAGGCTGGAGGTTGGAGTCCACACAAAAGAACCTTGGAAGAAAAGCCTGGCAATCTACTTCTGAAAAATCAAGTCAGTGAAAACCCTATGGAGTACAGGTTTACTCTGACACACATGGGGTTGCCATGTGCTAGAATCAATGGCAACTGATCATAAAGGTGGTTAGATCCAAAATGTTTTAAAAGACTACAGAGCCCACAATTCCTGGAAACTGAACCTGAACTCTGTTTTCACACAACCTTGTTCAAGTTTTATGGTCAAAGTCTTCAAGTTAACACAGCAAATGACAGATATAAGGCACTCCTGATTCATCCTTCTTTAGAGATGGAGAAACTAATCACCAACTTTATATGGGAATGAAATAGACCCCAGATAAGCAAAGCACTACTAAAGAATAACAAAATAGGACACCTCACAATCCCTGATCTCAAGACCTACCCCACAGCCACGGTAGTTAAAACAGCCTGGTACTGGTACAACAACAGACACACAGACCAATGGAAAAGAATTGAGAATCCAGAAGTAAATCCATTCACCTGTGGACAGCTGATCTTTGAGAAAAAGGGCCAAGACTCATTAAATGGGGAAAAGAAAGTCTCTTTAATTACATGGTATTGGCAAAACTGGGTAACCCTTTACAGAAATACAAAACAGGACCCAAATCTCACACGATATACAAAAATTAACTTCAAGTTGGATCAAAGACCTGAATGTAAAACCTAAAACCATAAAGACCATGAAAGAGAAAATGGGTACAAACTAAGGGGCCCTAATACTGGGCATAAATACACTACTGACTATAACTAAAAACACTAGAAGACAAAATAGATGACTAGGACCTACTAAAAATTAGACATTTAATGCACATTTTAAAAATTCTAAAGTAAAAAGAATGTGTGGATCGGGAAAAAGAAATTTTAGCAACAACATTGGACAAGGGGCTAATCTCTAAAGTTTATACAAAACTTCAACACCTTTACAACAAAAAGACAATCCAGTAGACAAACGGAGAGAGACAACATTCAGCCAGCCAACACAATGAAAAAATACTCGAGATCATTAGCCATCAGAGAGATGCAAATCAAAACAACAATGACATACCATCTTGCCCCAGCACTAACAGCAAAGTTAAAAAAATAGAAAAAGCTGGTGAGGGTGTGGAGAGACTGGAACCCTCATACACAGCTAGTGGGACTGTAAGATGGTGCAACCATTGTGGAAAACAGTATGGCGCTTCCTTAAAAAGCTGAAAATGGAAATACCATATGATCCAACAATCCAACTACTAATTATGTATCCTAAAGAAATTAAGAGCTGTGACACGAATAGATATATGCATAGCTGTGTTCACTGCAGCGCTATTCACAACAGCAAAATGATAGAAACAACCTAAATGCTTATCAACAGAAGTATGGATCAACAAATTATGGTACATGCACACAATGGAACACTATGTAACATTAAAGAACAATGATTAATCTGGGAAATATAACATGGATGAACTTCAAGCCCATTATGCTGAATGAAGTTACTCAATTACAAAAATATTTTTTGAGACCAGTATAAAAAGTCAAGGGTTTCATAGAAAAAGAACTGATTCACTGATGAATCAGGTAAGTGGGGGAGAAAGGGTAAACCACTAACTTGAGGGCAGACACATCTTGGCTGGACGAGGGGAACTATATATATTAAATATAAATACAAATATACATATATATATATATATATATATATATGTATATGTATATATGTATGTATGTATATGAGACCAGTTAACATTTACCCAAAAGCAAAGAAAAGAAAGCAAAGATGGGCAGGGAAGCTAGACCAATGGAAACAAAACAGGTAGAATTGGGGGGGGGGGGGAGACTCAGTGAAGATGCAAAAGCTAGAATGAAACATGCAGGGGAGGGGTGGCTAAATGTAGATCCTTTCTTCAAATGTAAGGATTTGAGTGCTGAAGGGGGCAATGTAGTCGGAGATACAAAGCAGAGGCTTCCCTCACCCCCAAGGGATAAAGGGGAAGAGGTTTTAGAGTGGCAAACAACCAAGGAAGATCAGAGGCACCAAGAAAGTACTCTATGTTTTGGTTATGCTGCTTATAAACCTGTCAGTGCTTAATATTTTAATAAAAATCTTCCTTCTTTGAAGACTCTACTATGAGGGAGAGCCATTTGCCTCAAAATTTACATGGAAAGGCAATAGACCACAAATAACGGGGAAATAAAAAAACCCTGAAGAATAATGTGGGCTCACACTTACGATTTCCGAAGATATTACATAAAGCCACAATAATTTTAAAAACCTGGTACTGCTGTAATAATAGACACAGAGACCCAATAGAATAAAATTTGAGAGTCCAGAAATACATCCACACATCTACAGTCAACTGATTTTTTTTACGAAAGTGGTAAGTCCATTCAATGGGTAAGGAAGAGTCTCTTGAACAAATGGTGCTTGAGAAAACTAGACTTTCACATGCAAAAGAATAAATGAAGGCTCATATGCCTCACACCATACACAAAAACCAATTCAAAATAGATCAAGGACTTAAATGAGAAAACTAAAATCACAAAAATCTTAGGAAAAATGTAGGGGTGAGCCTATGGGACCTAGTTTTTAATGATGGTTTATCAGATATGACAACAAATGTACAAGAAGCAAAAAAAGAGACTTCATAAAAACTAAATGCTTTTTGTTCATCAAAAAAAACATTACCAACTGATGATTATGGGTGTATACCAGCTTGACTGGGCCAGGATTCTCAGTAGTTCAGCAGTTAAGTTGTAGTTGTATAGTTAAGTAATGTAGTCATCCCCCACTTTGTGATCTGATACAATGTAATCAACACCATGAGGAGATCTGTATCAGCAATCAATCACTTGAAAGGAAGTTTCCTTGGAGGTATGACCTGCACTCAATATGGACATTGTGGCAAAATTCTCTGGCTTTTACTTACTCTGGATCCTGCATCTAGCTCATCCCATCTGACCTCTGGTTCTTGGGACTTGAGCCAGTGGTCTGATGAACTGCCTGCCATCTTGGATTCAGCAGTCTGCTGTCTGGCCTCTGATCTTGGGTTCATCAGCCCCTGCAGCTACACAAATTAGAAGAAGCCTCCAGCCTAACATCTAACCTATGGATTTGGGATTTGCTAGTGTCTACAACCACATAAGCAGTTTTCTTGAGATAAATCTATGTATCTAACCTTTGAGCTCTGGTGGCGTAATGGATAAGGCACTTGACTGCTAACCGGAATGTCAGTGGTTCAACCTCCAGCCGCTCTGCGGAAGGTGATCTACTTCCATAAAAATTTAAGGCCTTGGAAACCCAGTGGGATCACTATGAGTCAGAAATGACTCAATGGCAGTGAGTTCAGGTTTGTTTTTTTATTTTAAATCAAAGCATCACTGGTTTTGGTTCCCTAGAGAACGCAGCCTAAGAAACCAACAAAGTGAAAATACAACCTATAGATTGGAAGAAAATATTCAGATCTGGTAAAGGTCTAATATGTAAAATATATTTTTTAAAAAAACATTTACAACTCTATCAAAAAAATGAGCAGAGTCCTTGAAAAGACATTCCATCAGCGGACAATGAAAAGGCCAGCAAGCACATGAAAAGATGTTCAATGTCATTAGCCATTGTTGTGTGTTGTCAAGTCTATTAAACTGATAGTGACTGTGTAAGACAAAGTATTACCGCTCCAGAGAGTTTCCTAGTCTGTAATCTTTACAGGAACAGATTGCCAGGTCTTTTCTCCCAGTGAATGGCTGGTGGGTTCATCCACTGACCTCTGACCTTTAGGTTAGCAGTTTAATGCTTAACCAGGGCACCACCAGGACACCACCATTAGTCATTAGGGAAATGCAAATCAAAACAACAATCAGACACTACTACCATTCCCATTAGAATGGCAATGATTTGAATAAAAACAAACAGGGAAACAACAGGTGTTAGCTACATCGTTGACAAACAGGAACCCACCATTACTGGTGGGAATGTAAATGGTGTGGCCACTGTGGAAAGCATTTTGGCAGTTTCTCAAAAAGTTGAACACAGAACTACCATATGAACCAGCAATTCAGTCCTACATATGTACCCAGAAAATATAAAAGCAGGAATGCAAGCAGAAACCTGTACATCAATGTTCTTGGCAGCACTACACTATTGACAACAGCCAAAAGGTATAAGTAACTGAAATGTTCAACACAAAAAAAGGGAAAATAAAATGCGGTATATACATACAATGGAGTATTACTCAACTCAGCCATAAAGAAAAATGAAGTCCTGGTACATGCTACAACATGGATCAACTGTGAAAACATGCTGAGTGCAATAAATCAGTCTTGAAAGGACAAATACTGTATGATATCACTTATGTGAACTAAGTATATAGACACTGAAGATTATTAGTCGTTACCTAGGTAGAAAAGAGGGGAAAAAGGGAAGTTTTTACTTGGGGACATACAGTTAATGTGGTAGAATAATTTGGAAAAGGATAGTGATAAAGGTCACACAATTTGAAAAATCTAATCAGTATCACTGGACTGTACATGTGGAAATTGTTGAATTGGTGATGGTTTTGTTCGTATCTTCAGTACAATTAAAAAAAAAAAAAAAAGGCTTTTTGGATTACACAGTAACTTCCTTATGACCATCTGAATTTCCTCACCACACACACAAATCTGGATATGCTGTTCTTAAGTTTGGATAATTAGTCTGTATAGTTCTAAAGCTGACTTCCAAGTATCTAGTGGCTTAGTTCACTAAAATTTCTCCTTCCCATGCTGTTAGGTGACATCAAGTTGGTTTTGACTAATGAATAAAACTGGTAACACACTGTGGAAAATATAAGCAATATCACTGAATAATCCATGTAGAAATTGTTAAATGGAAATCAAATTTCCTGTGTAAACTTTCACCTTAAAATATTTTTTAAAAAAAGATGCCAGGACACAAACAGATACATGCACACCCATGTTCATCACAGCACTATTCACAATAGCAAAGAGATGGAAACAACCTAAGTGCCCATCAACAGAAGAATGGATAACCTAACTATGGCACATACACACAATGAAGTACTATGCAACACTAAAGAATAATGCAGAATCTGTAAAACCGCGTAACACGGATGAACTTGGAGAACATTATGCTTAGTGAAATAAGTCAATCACAGAAGAACAAATATTGTATTAGTTCACTATTGTAAAAAGTCAAGAAAAAGTTTATATATGGAAGGAAACTTTGTTGGTTACCAGGGAGGGGAGGGGCGGGAGGGGTGAGGACACTGCTACATAGAGACAAGTACTGATTTGGGTAAAGGGAAAGGCAATATACCAAAATCAAATGACCAACACGGTAATACTAAGGAAAAGGCAGGCAGACAGAGGTGCACAAGGGGTATAGACGACAAAGATAAACCCTTTTATGTAAACAATACTGCATTATCAGTGGTAACGAACATTAACCTACAGGTGAATAGATAGGTAGATAGGCTGAGTAATCAGGTCTGTCTAGGCAAAAGGGAATATACCCATGACCATATAGAAGACTGTTGTTATGTGCCATGGAGTCAGACCCGACTCATAGTGACCCCTCCTTGGGTTTCTGAGGCAGTATCACTACGGAAGTAGATAGCCCATCCTTCCCTCTGAGGAGTGGCTGGTGGGTTTGAACTGCCAGCCTTCTGGTTAGCAGTTAAATGCCTTAGGTAGTGTACTACCAGAGCTCCTATACATATGTAAGATTGGCAGATGATATTCCTACATATATATCTGTATGTGCTGTAAGAATATCCATATATGTAACAGAGTGAACAAGGGGCAAAGTTATGATAACTTCTTAGCCACAGCCAGTCACTCTGAGGGAGCGAGTAGATAGATATGTGGGCTAGGTACCATGGTCGCAGGGGACATCAAGCTCAAATGGCGTAACACACTACTTAAAAACACTGTTCTACATCCTACTTTGGTTAGTAGCAACTAGGGTGTTAAAAGCTTGCAAGCAGCCGTGTAGATGCAAAATGGGTCTCTCCTTATCTATAGCAAAGAAGAATGTAGAAAACCAAAGATGTATGGAAACAATTCATCCAAAGGATTAGTGGACCATGCAAACCTCAGCCTATGTGACCAGGAGACCAGAAGAACTAGATGTTGCCTGGCTACCAATGTCAACCATTCAGAAAGGGATCAGTGCAGGAGATCCTGGATAGAATGGGAGAACAATGTGGAACAAAATTCAAAATCACAGACAAATAAAAAGACCAGGTTTACTGGTCTGATAGAGCCTGGTGTGACCCCCAAGACTGTGGTCCCTAGTTTCCCTTCAGGTGTGGAATTGGACTCACTCCCATGGCTTCCAGACAGACAAAAGACAAGCATGTAAGAGGAACATTTACACTAGGTAGATACACTCTGAACAATCAATCATGGGAGAACAGAAGGGCAGTATTTGCACAGGGAAATAGCTCAAGGGGCAGGAATGTACAGGAAAGGAGGACACGGGGAAGAGATAACAATAGGGAGGAAGTGGGAAGAGAGCTGTTACACTGTAGGGAACTACAGTCAGTGTCATGAAACAAAATGTGTATGAACTGCTGTATGGAAAATGAATTTGTAAGTTTTCACCCAAAGCATAAAAAAATGATTGACTCATATACCCTGCACTAATCCTGCATCACTAACATAACAAAAACAACCCATTCTCAGGGGATTATAACCACAGACATAGGGTTGCTGTTGTTAGATGCTTTGAGCTCACTGTCAGAGCCACTGTGTCAATCCACCTCATTGAGAGTCTTCCCCTTTTCACTGACCCTCTACTTTACCAAGCATGGTATCCTTCTCCAGAGACTGGTCCCTTCTGGCAACATGACCAAAGTATGTGAGATGAAGTCTGGCCATTCTCTAAGAAGCATTCTGGCTGTACTTCTTCCATGACAGATTTATTTGTTCTTCTGGCAGTCCATGGCATATTTAATATTCTTCACCAGCACCACATTCAAATGCATAAATTCTTCTGCAAGTTTTTTTATTTATTCACTGTCCAGCCCTTATATGCATATGAAGCTACTGAAAATAACGGCTTGGGTCAGGCACACCTTAGTTTTCAAAGTGACATCTTTGCTTTGAACACTTTGAAAAAGTCTTTTATACCAGATTTGCCCAGTGCAATACGTTGTCTGATTTCTTGACTGCTACTTCCATGGGCACTGATTGTGGATCCAAGTAAAATGACATCCTTGACAGCTCCATCTTTTCTCTGTTTATCATGATGATGCTTATTGGTCCAACTGTGAGAATTTTTGTTTTATGTTGAAATATAATCTATACTGAAGGCTATGGTCTTTGATCTTCATCAGTGTGTCAAGTCTCCTTCACTTTCAGCAACCAAGCTCGTGTCACCTGCATACAGTAGGCTGTTAAAGGGTCTTCCTCCAATCCTGATGCTGCATTCTTCTTCATATACTAAAGCTTCTTGGGTTATTTGCTCAGGACGCAAACTGAGTAAGTATGGTGAAGGAATACAGCCCTGATGCACAACTTTCCTGGTCCTAAGCCATGCAGTATCCCCTTGTTCTGTGGGAATAACTACCTCTTGATCTATGCACAGGTTCCTCATGAGCACAATGAAGTGTTCTGGAATTCCAATTCTTTGCAAAGTCATCCATAATTTGTTATGATCCACACAGTCAAATGCCTTTGCATAGCCAATAAAACTCAAGTAAATATCTTTCTGGTATTCTTTTTTTTCAGCCAAGATCCACCTGACATCAGCAATGATATCTTCCAGTTCTACTTCCTCTCCTGAATCCAGCTTGAATTTCTGGCAGTTCCTGATCAATGTACTGTTACAACCATACTCCTTCCCATACTCCATCCTCTTAGAGATGAATCATTTTACCATTTCTTATGTTTCTGATAATTTTTGCAGTGATAATGAAAACATGATTATCAGTTGCCAAGGAACTAACTGACTCATGCCAACCCCATGTGCAGTAGAATAGATCAACCTTTTGACTAACAGTTGAGCACTTAACCATCTGCACCAGACAGGGACTCCTAAAGCAATGATTAAGCCCGTTGTGTGCAGTGGATTCCCGATTCAAAGCGACCCCACAGAAAGCGCAGAATTGCCCCATGGAGTTCCCAAGGCTATAATCTTCAAGGCAAAAGACCGCCACATCTTTCTCCGCAGTCCGGCTGGTGGGTTCGAACCACCCAGCCGCCACCTTTCGGTTAGCGCTAAACCACTCTGCCACCCAAGACTGCTTAGATTAGAGGATTTTAAATTGGCCCCATCTCTTATTAGTGCTTCTTCACACTTAACTCCCACCCCTTGGCTCTCTCTCAGAATCTTCAAACCTCTGTGTTCCCGACAAGACAAACCCATTCTCCGAGACCCTAGGAAGAATGTGAAGGAATTTAGGACCGCGAGGTTGTGATGCCAAGAGTCCAAAGAGGCAGTCCGGACGCGTGAGGCCTTGGAGAGGTCATCTCTTGGCCTCGCAGCTTCTCCAATGTGAAACAAATGTCGGTACCAACGAACAAGAGTTTGGTGACTCCAAGAGGAATAAATGAAGTGAGGAACTCAGAGCTTCCTCGGCCGGGGTCTGACTCCCCGCTGCACAAAGGGAGGATCACGCCCCTACCTGCTGCGTTGGACTCCAGGCGTCCCTCGTCAGCTACACCTTCTGCCTGCTCCTCCAGCCGGGTCCCGCCGTGCAGGCCGCGTGCGAGGCCATCTGCCAGGTAGGCAATGCCGAGAGGCGGGCACGAAGAAAGCCGCTGCTTGGCCAGCAAGCCAGGCCGGGACCCCGCACTCGCCGCTGGTCTCACTCCGTGGGAGAGGCCCCCGCGCCACAGCAGCACTCCCAAACGCCAAGCGCCACAACTACGCGGCACCATCGCCGTCGCCTTACTTTAACTTCACCGGATGGTGCTTAACGGAGCCCGAACAGATTCTGCGGATTTCGATTGGCCAGGTCAGCCCAGCGTGGCCTGTAAATTTTACGTCAGCGCGTGGACGGGGCCAATTTCCGGAGGCCGGCCGCGGGCGGAGTCTGAGTCAGGGGAGGGTTGGTGTGACCTGGGAGAAGTGGTTGGTAACTAGGCTTTATAGAAGTCAGAGAATAAATAAATATTTGAGGGTATTTGGCTGCTAACCCAAGTGTCAGTGGTAGGAACGCACCAGTTGCTCCGTGGAAGAAAGATAAGGCAGTCTGCTTGCATAAAGATTTACAGCCTTAGAAACCCAATGGGGGTGGCTATGACTCCGAATGGACTCGATGGCGTAAATTTGGGTTTTTGGTTTTTTTGTTTGTTTATATTGTAGTTACGCGCTGTATCTCCCTCGCCCCCCCCCTTTTTTTCCCCTTTTTTTTGATCTGTCTCCTTCCACTATAATGTAAACTGCATGAAGGGAGAAAAACCTTTCTTTAAAAACCTTTCTTTAAAAAAACTGTTCTTTCCTCAGACCTACAAAGCTCTTGACGTTAAATGCACCCAAGTGACCGCTGTTGATTAGACTGTAATTAGGTGGCTCAAACATTCAGTTGTTGTTGTTGTTGTTGTTTGCCGTCGAGTCGGCCCCGACTCATAGCGACCCCTCCTTGGGTTTCCGAGGCAGTATCACTACGGAAGTAGGATTGCCCAACCTTCCTTCCGAGGAGTGGCTGTTGGATTTGAACCGCCAGCCTTCTGGTTAGCAGTCAAGTGCCTTAGGCACTATGCTACCAGAGCTCCCCAAACATTCAGTTAGTCTTTTGCATATACAGTACTGAGTTGTCAGTGAAAGCAAACATGGGTATATGGACAGATAGATAGGAGGACAGGCTAAACAATTAGGTATGTCTAAATGCGGAGTGTATCCAAGATCATATATAGGGTTGGCAGACAAAAAAAAAAAAAATTCAGTTAGTAGCCGAAGGATTGGCAGTTCGAAACCCCTCCCCCCCCCCAGGTGCGTCGGAAATAAGTCCTTGTGATCCTCTTCAACAGATCATAGCCTTGAAAACCCTGTGGAGCAGTTCTGGTCTTCAGGCTTGTGTCGTCACTAGGTGTTGGAGCCCTGTAAATCAACTTCATGGCAACTAGTAACATTTACAGTCCTTGTATTGAGATGTCGTCAGTGTACTGCATTGTGGGGACCACTCTGTGAGAAAAGGATTACTGAGATGTTACAAAATTAAATCGAAGAATTTGAGGACTGAAAGAGACTGATGGGGAAAAGTGACTTGCACAGGGGCATACACTTACTACCCAGGTTTCTGCACTCCTCCTAAATTCTGCAAGGAAAGTTTGCAGATACTCTCTGGGGAAAAAAAAAAAAAAAAAACAGTCGTTGCCATGGAGTCATTTCTGACTCATGGCAACCCTATGTGTACAGAGCAGAATTGCTCCATAGGGTTTTCTTGGATGTAACCTTTAGGGAATTAGTTTTCCAGACCTTTTTATCTGCAGAGAGAGACTACTGCATTAGGGAGAAGCTGTGACCATAGTAAGATCAACAAGCTCTCAAAGGTTAGGCAAAAAGGTAAACAAGATGAGGAAAAGCATCCCTAAGTCTTATCTAAGTAATACGAGGAATGATGTTTCTTTGCAGTGAAATGTTCCCCAAAACAAAAAAGAGTTGAAGAGTTTTTTAACCATTGCAGTTTTCCAGGAGAATGAGGTTTAGATAAAAGTCAACATTTTCAGGGGCAAATATCCCAAATGCCTGGAACAGTATCAAGCACCTAGCAGGTACATCATTTAATTTCTTTTAAAGAAATAACTCCAAGCACTAAAAATATTTTGGAAGTCAAAATCTACAAGAAAAGTACAGAAACTAATACAAGCACTAGTGTGTACCACCTCAAATATTTACAATTGCTTCAACTTCTTTTTGAAAAGAAGTATTACAGATAAAGTCTCCTCTGTCCTCCAGTTCCAGTCTCCTCAGTTCCCTACATGCATAACTTTGGTGTTTCCCCCAGCTTTTGTCATCCATTCCATGTTCCCTTCCTTTTTTCTGAATACACCAAATCTGATTAACCACTGGTATTTGCTTGAAGGAGAGTATGTTCTTTATCAGCATCATCATTTCCCAAAATCTCTCAAATCCTGGACTTTAGCCAATCCAGGATCTCCCTGCAACAAACTAATCTGTTGTCAAATGCTACTTACACTATCTCCATTTTTCCCCCCACATTCAGGTTCCTGTCGTTATTCCCATTGTCTCTTCCTTTGTCCAGGTTTTCATTAACTCTTGCCTAATTACTGAAGTAATACCAAGCCAGGTTATTTTCAGTAGTCTCATATGTGTGTGAAAGCTCATTGCTATTGATTCATAATGACCCCCTTTGGGTTTCCAAGGCAGTAAATCTTTACAAAAGCAGATTGCGCCATCTTCCTTCCACAGAGCGGCTGGTAGGTTTGACCCGCCATCCTTCAGGTTAGCAGTCAAATGCCGTAGGCATTGCAACCCCAGCGCTCCTTTGACAATGAATGAGGAAGATCAAAGAACTGATGCATTCGAATTGTGGTCTTGGCAAAGAATACTGAAAATACCATGGACTACCGCAAGAACGAACAAATCTGTCTTGACAGAAGGGCAGCCGAAATGATCCTTAGAAGCAAGAATGGCCAAACTTCATCTCACCTAATTTGGTCTTGTCAGAAGGGATTAATCCCTGGAGAAGGCTATCATGCTTGGTAAAGTAGAGGGTCAGTGAAAAAGGGGAAGACTCTCAAGAAGATAGATTGACACAGTGGCTGCAATGACAGACTCAAGCATAGCAAGGATTGTGAGGATGGCATGGGACCAGGCCTGGTTTCCTTCTGTTGTACATAGCATCACTATGAGTTGGAGCCAACTTGACAGCACCTACCAGCGATTACTCAGGTGAGAAGCAGAAGTGGTTCAGTGGTAGAATCCTTGCCTTCCATACAGGAAACCCAGGTTTGATTTCTGCAATGAACCTCCTGTGCAACTGAAGCCAGCTAGTTTAGCAAACATTTTATCTTTGAGGCCAGAGAAAAAGCTTCTTATCATTCCTGGGGATGGGACCTAAGGGCATCAAAAGTAATAAACAAGCCCTAATCAACTAAACTAGAAACCCCCCCCTCCCCACTTCCTGCCGACCCTCCTGCTGACAGATACCTTTCAACCATAAATTCCGAACTGGTCCCAGCAAGACCCAGGAGCATGTGCAGAAAGAACTGTGCCCTCTAACTGAATCCAGTAAAACTCCTGTCAAGGAACCAAAAATCACGGAATTATGTCATTGGTGCTACCAGACCTATTTCAGAAGGGAGGGTCCGTCGGTCACTTCTGTGCTAACCTATAACCCTGCCCACTATGAATAAGGCATGACACCTCCACCGAAACTTTGAATATGTATAAATCCCCATTTCCCAATTTACTATAAAACTTCCCAAACTGCTTCTGTTTGGGGAGACAGACCTGTAAGAAATTATTCTTGCTGTCTCCTTTCCCTTGCTGAGAAATAAAATCCATCTTGCTCATTCCCCTTACTCATTATTGTTTGAGTTGAAGTGGCAAACCCATAGTGTTCAGTAACACAACCACCACCCATCTGTCAGCAAAGGCTTGCATGTTGCTGTGATACTGAACAGATTTTAGCAGCACTTCCAGACTAAGATGGACTAGAAAGAAAGGCCTGGCAATCTACTTACAGAAAATAGCCAAGGAAAGCCCTATGAATCACAACAAAACATTGTCTGATAGTGCCGGGAGATGAATCCCCTACGTTAGAAGGCATTCAAAATACACAGTGCTACAGGAATGGACTGAAGTATATAGAATGATGAAGATGGTATAGCACTGGACAACGTTTTGTTCTGCTGCACAGGAGGTGGCCATGAGTTGAAGCAGAATCAGTGATGACTAATAACAGCATGTCTTTAGAGTTAATTAAAAGCTGTTTTTGTTTTTTTCTTTTTAATTATTTTGCTGTGTTTTCAGAGAAAGTTTACATAGCCAATTAGGTTCCCATTTAACAATTTCTACATTTGCTCAGTGACATTGATTCCATTTTCACAGTATGTCAGTTTTCTCTTATTTCTGTTTTAGTTGTTCATTTCCACTAATCTAGTGTTCCCTGACTCCTTACCTTCTCGTCTTTGCTTTTGAGTAAATGTTGACCATTTTGTTTCATATTAATATTTGGTCTCAGATTTACTCACAGATGATAATGTTTATTTTGTAATCCAATCTAGTATTTAGCTAAAAGATGACTTCATGGTTTAGTTTTGGTTCCAAGTTTAAAAAGTATCTCAGGGCAATAGTCTTAGGGAGTCCTTCAGTCTCAAGCAGTCCAGTAAGTCTGGACTTTTTAAGAATTTGAGTTCTGTTGTACATTTTGCTTCCATTGTATCAGGATTCAGCCATTGTGTTTCTGATCACAACAGTACTGGTAGCTAGGCACCATCTAGTTCTGGTCTCAGGGTATATGAGGTGATGATTAGTGTAGATTATAATTTCTGTAGACTAGTTTCTCCTCTGAATCTTTGGTTTCCTTCCTTTTTATTTCAGGTGCATAGTGACCAATAGTTGTACCTTGGGTGGCCACTTACAAGCTACTCACCAAGTTAGGATGTAGAACATAAACTTTATGTACTAATTATCCCAACTGACTGAGTTGTCCCATGAGCCTATGATCCTAAGCCTTTAGACCATGTAAATCAATCCCACAAGGTGTTTAGTTGAATCTAGGAAGTATCCTTGTTTGTGTCCCTGTGGCAATTAAGGCTATGTGTCAATTTGGCTGGGCCTGGTTTTGAGTGGCTTGGCAGCTGGATGTCGTTATTCCCCGTGATAAGACGGTAACCAACTCCATGGTGGAAACTACTGGAGCAGCTGAATATCTGCCTTAGGGATGTGGTTTGTTTCCAGTATAGAAGCA